CCCGCCCCCGGTCCCGGGGGTCCAGCAGCCGCTGCCTTTGCGCACGCTGCTCCTTTATTACTTTTTCTTCAGCATCGGGGATTGAATCCACGTCTTTGCACTGAGCTCCCTTCTCAGCCCTTAATCAATTTATTTTTGGAGACAAGGTTTGGCTAAATCACTAAAAGGCCCAGAGTGAGCTTGAACTCAAAATCATCCTGCCTCAGGCTCCTCAGAAGGGCCCACTAACTCTGTGGACCTCAAGAGGGCCATCTGCACAGCCTCAGGTGGCCTCGGGGCACATCTACCTACAGGATCGATGAACATTGAGTATTATCTGAAGAAGGCTCTTAAAAACATAAGCAGGCAGGAATACTCACCCTTTGGGGGCAATACATAGCTTTATGGGTTTTATTTTTGAGTTTTGGTTTTGGTTTTTGAGACGGGCTCACTAGGAAGCTCAGGCTTGCCTCACTTTCACGGCAACTCTCCTGCCCCAGCCTCCCAAGGGCTCGGATTACAGGCGGGTGAGTTTTGTGGATTTTGATGCAGGACTGGCTTTGTGTGGCCACCACGTCAAGACCCAGAATTGTCCCTGTCCCCTAGGAGCCCCTCGGCCGTCACCACTTCCGGTCTCTGCTGTCCAGCCTACGCGACAGAGCTGGTCTCTGTGTCACCTTTTCTCTTTCTGTGCCCTTGACTGCTGAGAGAATTGTCACATGCTGTGTCCCCCACAGCCCCTGGGGACGGACGGGTGTCACTGGGACTGACCCCTCGGCAGAGCCTTTCCCTGCTGGTTGCCCACAGTCCTTGGCTGGCAGCCACAGCCTCTACCTTCAAAGCCAGCAGTGGCCTCCTGCCCTCTGCTATGATGAGATCCTTAAGGACAGCCAGGACCCGACAGCCCAGGGTCACTCCACAGCCAGGAGCCCTCTGAGAAACCTCTTTCCCACTCCATGGCGTCTTTGGGGCTGGGATTCAGCCCTGTGGTCACAGCACCGCAGTCTTCCCCTCGGGGCCTGGCACCTCTCGTTTCCTCGGGGCTGCCTCAGTCACCCCACAGCCCAGCCCTTCTCACTGCCCCGAGCCTTTGCCACTCCCCTCAGAGGGAGCCTGTGCTGTTCCTAGCTTTGGATGACAAGGACAGAGCGGCTGTCAGCACGTGTGTGCAGCCAGGCATGGTGGTGCGTGAGTGTCATCTCAGTATGCGGGAGGCTGAGGCAGGAGGATTGCCATGAGTTTGAGGTCAGCTTGGGCTACATAGTTCAAGGCCAGGATGGACTACATAGTGAGACCCTGCATCCAAAAACCCAGTAATAATAATAATAATAATAATAATAATAACGACAACAACATAACCCCCCAGGGATTAACTACACTGGTGACAGAGCTGGACAGTGGTGAGGGGGACCTAGAGAGGCCTGTGCGCTCCCTCCATGTACCCCAAGTCACCCAGGGCCGTGCAGAGGAGCCCCTGGGAAGGAGCCGGGACGAGGCTGGCACTGCCCACCTTTGAATCGCAGTTCTGCCCTTCTGCAGCTGCGCAACATCCCCCAAGTGACTTTGCCCCTCTCTGTCCCTGTTTGTTGCCCTGTCTTTGATTTGGTTTGGTTTGGAGACCATCTTATCAGGTAGCCTAGGTTGGCCTGGAACTTGCGGCGACCTTCCTGCCTCAGCCTCCTGAATGCGGGGATGATCTAAGTGTAGCACCACATGCAGGCTGTTGGCTCAGCTGTGCGCGGGGAGGGTGACAGGACTGCCGTGCGGTGCAGAGAGACGCACATGGGTCAGACCTGGGAGGCTGTGGGAGCAGGAGCCCAAGGGTGCTTCGGGCCTCCTCTGCTGGGGGTGCTTTGGACACTGCAGCAGGACGCAGCCGCCAGTGCACAGCCTGGGACCGCAGCCCCGCTGGGGATGGGCACAAACTGTCCATAGGGGGTGGCCATGCGGGAGCCCTGCCCTGAATGCTCCGCGGTGGAAAGTTCCACCCAGTCTCCCGGCTGGTCCCAGTCTAGACACAGGAGCACGAAAATACTGCTCCCAGTTCCGTCCAGGCTGTGTGCAGAAGGTACACACAAAACCCAGGTGGTGTGGCACGCAGACTCTGGGTCCCTGAAGGAGGCCTGTCAAAATCTTGAAAAACAAAAACCTGAACTCCAAACAGTTCCGGTCTGGAGCATGCTGGAATGCATAAGAGACACAGAGCCTGTGTTGTGGAGACTGAGTGAGAAAGAAGCCAGTGTCATCGCGGCGCAGGCCTGTCATCCCAGCACTTGGGAGGCTGAGACAGGAGGATCTCTGTCAGTTTGGGGCCAGCCTGGGCTACATAGTGAGACCCTATCTCCAAAGAGGAAAGGAAGGGAAAGGGGGAGGGGGAAGGCCAGGCATATAGCTCAGCAGTACAGCACCTGCCTGACAAATATAAGGTGCTATGTTTGATTACCAGCACCAAATAGGAGGAGGAGGTGGGGGGAGGAGGAGGAGGAGCAGGAGCAGGAGCCATAGGTCCCATGGTCTGGGGTCCACTTCAGGGCCAGTAGTGATCAGCTGGGTGGCAAAGCAGACGTGAGGCCAGCAGCCTGTCCTGTCAGCAGAGCTGGGTTGCTGTGTCCCTGTCCCCACTCCCCACTATCCCCTTCATTCCTCTGCTCAGACAAATGACTGCCATGCACTGTGTGGGGACACCCTGGGCCTCTGGCCCGGAGAGTAGCTGCCCGGGGACTAGATCTGGTTCAACAGTCGGGAGAGGAGGCCCAGGCCCCGTGCTGGGCCCAGTGAAGGTTCAGCCAGGCACCTTCCTGTCCTACAACCTTTGTGTGCCAAACCCAGGCCAGGTTAGGGACATGATGCCCTTGGGGCCCTGGCTGAAGGGAGGGGCTGTGGGGAAAGAGCAACTTGTCGGGGTAGCTGGTCACATGTGGCACAGGCTAGGCTCAAACTAGAGATCTTCCTGCCTCATTCTCCCAGTAGCTGGTACTGCACCACCACTCCAGTTCTACTTGGTTCTCAGTATGTGGGCTTGGCCAAAACTATCTCTTCCCTGAACCCCTATTTTAGCATCTGAAATATGTGGGGAGCCCCCAACCCATCATTCATACGGGCACAGGGATTCTTTATACTGCGGTTGTGTGGGGTGAGCTTTGTGCACAAGGGCCTGCAGCAAGGCAGCTTGGGGCCCTTGACCTCCCATGGCCCAGGGCAGGGAACCACCAGGGCTGGAAAGGGCGGTGGGACCTGAACCTTTCTCCCCCACATGTTTCCTGTTGAAGTCTTCACACATTCTTTTTTTTTTTGGTGGAACCGGGGATTGAACTCAGGCCCTTGCGCTTGCCACGGAAGCACTTATTCTACTGAGCTATCTCCCCGGCCCCTCACACATTCTTTCATTTACTCACTCACCCATCCACCCATCATCTATTCACACATCCATCCATCCATCCAATCATCCACTTAGCCAACATCCATCTATCTTCTATCCATCCTTCCATCATCAATCGATCTATCCATCATCCACCCACCCACCCAACGATCTATCCATCCATCCACCCATCCATCATCCACCCACCCACCCAACGATCTATCCATCCATCCACCCATCCATCATCCACCCACCCACCCACTGATCCATCCAATCATCCACTTGTCCATCATCTACCCACCCATCCATCCACCCACCCACCCACCCAACGATCCATCCATCCACCCACCCATCCATTCAGGTACCAGGTGAGCACCCAGTGGCCCAGCCCCATGAGACCACAGAGGGCTCTAGGATGCCCCGATTCCCTTGTGCTTCCCAGTGAGCATCAGAGGAGCCTCTCCCTGTGGGATCCACACTCCTTCCTGGAGGTGGATGGAGGTGACTTCCTCAAGGAGCTGTAGTGCCATCGAAGACCCAAGGGACGCTTAGCCTCTGCAGTACTAACAGCCAGGCTTTGGATGCATTAGTGCTTCTCAAGCAGGCATGGGGTGCATTCCAGAAATCCCAGCACCCAGGAGGCTGAGGCAGGATGATCTCCAGGAGTTCAAGGTCAGCCAGAGCAACAGAGAGATGCAGCTCAGTGTGAAAGCTCTGGCTCAATCCTCAACATCATGAAGAAAAGGAAGAAAGGGAAGGAGGGAGAGACTTTATTATTATTATTATTATTATTATTATTATTTATTTTAGGGAAGGGTCTACAAGATGTTCAGGGTCTCACTACTAGGTCAGACTCAATTCTATCTACAGCCTCCCAAGAGCTGGGATTACAGGTGTTCGCCACCATGCCCAGTCTCGTTGCCATCTCAGCACAGCCCAGGGGTGGGGCCAGTACCAGCAGGGCAGGCCCAGGGGGATTGAACCCCGAGCCTCTGCATCTGCTTGCAAGAACTTTAATCCCCTGAGCTATTTGGCTGGCTCTCAAAAAAATTTTTTTTTTTTTTGCGGAACCGGGGATTGAACTCAGACCCTTGCGCTTGCCAGGCAAGCGCTTATTCTACTGAGCCATCTCCCCGGCCCCTCAAAGTTTTTTTAAAAAAGAAAATTTAACTGTGTATGGTGCACACCTGTAACCTCAGCACTTGGGAGGCTGAGGCAGGAGGATCCATGAGCTCAAGGCCAGCCTGAGCTGCAGAGCGAAACTCAGTCTCAAAAAGGCAAAAATTATCTATATATATTTTACAACCAGCCCTGGTGGTTTATACCTGTAGTCCTAGCACTCATTATAGGAGGCTGAGGCGGGAGGATCTCCACATGTTTGATGCCAGTCTGGCACCCATATCGAGTTCAAGGGCAGCCTGTGATCTTGACTCAGCCTCCTGAGTGCTGGGATTACAGGTGTGTACCACATGCGCAGCTTGTGTGGAGCTTTCTTCATCCATAAAGTGGGAATAACAAACAATTATGACATCCGGGGTGGCTGGAGATTGTGGGGGAGGGAATCAGCAAACCGCACCCCCTTTTGGTGGAAGCCAGCCGCCTTGAGGCTCGGTCCCCATTACGCCCCCCAGCTGCCCTCATGCAGCCTGTCTCTCCCCTGCAGCTCGAAGCTGCCTGGCGAATACTTCACGTACAAGGGCATCCTCTTCCCCGTGGGCCTCTACTCGCCTGAGAGCATCAGCCAGGCCGAGAACACCCAGAACGTGCAGGACGAGGACATCTTCATCGTCACCTACCCCAAGTCAGGTACTGAGGCTGGGGAGAGTGGGCGTGGGACGGACAGACAGGGCCAGCGTGGCGGTCACCGGGAGCCCAGCTCGGAGCCAAGGTCTTCCCTGAGCCGCCTCTTGCCCTCTGCATTCTCGTCACCTTCGCTGTATCTACTTGTTGCTGCTGGGCGCGCTCTCTGGGGTCCCTGCTGGGCCGAGAAACCCAAGGTTAGGTGAGTTGGGCTGCCGGGAAAGCCGCGGGCGTGGTGGCGCACGCCTGGCACCCCAGCTCTCGGGAGGCCAAGGCAGGAAGATCGCTGCACGTCTGAGGCCAGGCTGGGGGCTACATGGTGAGACGATGTCTCCAAAACCAAAGTCACCCAACCAAACAACAGCAACAAAAAGGATGTATGAAATATTTTGAAAAAATTCAAAAGTAATAGAAGTTTAAACTTGAAGTTTCTCTTTATGCAGCATGAGTAAAAGCTCCTGGTTCAGTCCCCAGGCTTCCCTTGTCCCCCAAACTACCACATCCCTCCAGCTCCCCTCTTCTAAGGCTGCCCCTGCCCCCACCATCCACACCCTCCCCCAGGCTTCATCTTGTCTTCTGGGTGGACCCCCAGCCCTAATTATAGGGCGATGTTGCTAATTGTGTGTTTAAATAAAGCCTGTCTTGCCCGCCGTGGTTGTGCACACCTGTGATCCTAGCATTCTGGGAGGCTGAGGCAGGAGGATGGCAAGTTCACGCCCAGCCCGGGCAACTGTCTTGGTGACTCTGTCTCAAAAATTTTTAAAAAGTCTCATTCCTGGCAAAGTGACACACATCACTCTTGGTCACCTCCTGATGCTGAGACTACATTGTTCATTTGTGAACAAGTTCTCACTGTGTAGTGCAATCTGGCTTGAACTCACTGTGGTCGGCCTTGAACTTGCAACCTTTCTGCCTCAGCTTCCCAAGTGCTAGGATCCCAGGCCAGCGCCACCGCCCAGGACTCCTTGAAACTACTCTTACAGGTGCCCCAGTCTCGCGGTTTTAATTGGCATTTCCCTGGGGGCAGGGCTGCTGTGTGTTCTCCCTGATCTTCTCCCGTAAAATGTCAGGTCAAGTTACCTCCTCCTTGGTCGAGCTGTTGGTTTTCTCCTCACTGAACTCTGTAGGCCAGATACAAACGTGGATCAGATGTGCATTTCTCGAATGCTCTCACCTGCTCGGTCCACCATCTTTTCATTTCTCACCAGGGCATAAGCACCTATGTTTTCAATTTGAATGAGATCCGATTTGTCACTTTTGGGGGCCGGCGAGATGGCTCAGTAGAATAAGCACAAGGACCTGAGTTCAATCACCAGTTCTGCCAAAAAAAAAAAGCCAATTTGTCACTTTTTTCTTTTATGGATCATGATGTTGGTGTTGTGGCCGAGGAATCATTGTTTAATTCATGATCATAAAGATGACCTATGTTTCTTTGGATTTCACTGGTTCAGAGTTTACATGGAAACCTGTGACCCAGCAGAGCAGGGCGTGGTGAGCTGGGCCTGTAATCCCAGCCACTGAGAGCTGGAGGAAGGAGGATCTCCGTGAGCTGACGGCCATTGTGGGTGCTGTAGGGAGACTGTCTCAAACACAAAACAAGCACAATCCATCCATCTGTGTATTTGCACATGTGTTCGTCTATAGGATAAATCCCTAGACGTGAGCCGGGTGTGGCGGCCCACACTTGCAGTCCCAGCACCGGAGGCAGAGGCAGGAGGATTGCTGCAAGTCTGAGACCAGCCCGGGCTACAAAGTGAGCTCAAGGCCAGCCTGAGCTGCAGATTGAAACCCTGTCTCGAAAAGACAAAAACAATTTAAAAAAAAGAAGGGCTGAGGATGTCGCTCGCCCTGTGCAAAGGCCCTGGGTTCATCCCAGCACTTGTTGTTTTTTTTTTAATTTTTTTTATTATTTTATTTTATTTTTAATTTGTGTGTGTGTGTGTGTGTGTGTGTGTGGCCAGCTCAGCCCACCAGGGGGCAGGGCTGGCTGGCATGTGGTGCTGGGGGATTGAACCGCGGTCCCTGTGCTTTGCTAAGCTTGTTCCAAGTAGGTGCTTTAGACCACTGAGCCATCTCACCAGCCCCATCCCAGCACTTGTATAAAAAGGGTGGGCTATGTGCACTTGCAGTCCTGCCACATGTGCCCCAAGTTCCACTTACAGGTCTGGGGGTGCCGCTCCTGCATCTCCATTTTGGTCCTAAATCAGAGCTTTCACTCTGCCAGTCTGACTGGTGAAAATAAAAAGGGGCTCTGTCTCGTGTAAATTCACGCGTCCAGTGCTGCGTGTGAACTTGAGCATCGTGTCAGATATTTCAGGAAGTGCTCACAGGCTGTGGGTTTGTTTAGTGGTAGGCAGTGTGTCTGAGGTCTGGGAGGCCCTGCATTTGGTACCTGGCCCGAAAAATAAAGCCAACAACAACAAACCTACTTCTAGTTCTTCTTTCAGGAACTGTTATCCCTGGTCCTTTTTCTCCCTTCTATTGAATTATTGGTCATTCATTAATTCATAGGTGTCTTTCTTTCTCT